GGATTGTCTGACAAATCGGTCGGCTTCTTTAGCTCAGTTGGTTAGAGCGCCGTGCTAATAACGCGGATGTCACAGGTTCGATCCCTGTAAGGAGCAACCTTTATCTCGGATAGTATAGTGGTTAGTATCCCAGTCTGTCACATTGGAGACCCGGGTTCAATTCCCGGTCCGAGAGCTTCTTTTTTTTTTCTATTTTGCAATAGGGGAAATCCTTATTTTCCTACTGTATTTTAGTTAACACATAAGGGATCAAGTTACTTTAAGGTTTTAAGTCTTATTTTGAATATATTTTTTGTTAATTTAATTTGTTTTTTTAGTGTATTTAGGACAAAGTTAACAAGCTGAATTTAAAAAACAAATAGTATATAGGTAATCAGAAACGAAGGATATTTATTTAGGGGGCACTGTTGGCTATTATACCTAATCAGCAGGATATATACCAATTGGGAAATCCCAAACGAAGGAGGACGTATCTGTTGTAAATGCTCGTCCGATGGATTAAAACTTTAGAGGTTAAGTTTAATGCGAATGTTTCTTTTGCTATTTGGGAAAAAGCAAGTTTATTATTGGGCTACAATTGCCATTTTAGAATAATATAAAACGCTCATCTATTTGGGAAATCCCACACGAAGGGTGTCAAGCCATCACGCCCTATTTTTTGGACAGATTAAAAATAGTGATTAGCTGATTTTATGAGCAGACATTTGAGAATGCAATATATCTGGAACTTTTTCCTCGTGAGATTTTTAAAAATTATTTTTTGAGTGCAAGATTAAACATTAGGGTACCATAAAAAAGCACCCCTGTTCTGGGATTACCGATCTCTTTTCTGTCAAAATTCATCCTTCGTTTGGGATTACCCAATTGATAACTCTATTTCACCTTTATAGTATAGATGTGGAGATAGAATGTTACCTTTAATTCGGGATTACCTATATGAGAAATCCCAAACGGAGGGTACTGTTTGATATCGCTGCTAAAGAGCAAAAAAATGATATGTACTCATAATTGGTTTATTCTGCAATATTTGCACCAGCTGCCCAATAACAGTTATACTTCAGCTTAGTCAAAAAGTTTGGCGATATTGCAATAGCGGTAAAACGTACCCTGCACAAATAATTACCCATATGGATGATAATTTTTTTAGAAGGACATTTTTGTTTAAAGTTGGCACTACTTGGTTTGCAAAATTATTTTTTCGTTCCAAGCTTACGAGTATATTAGAATTGTGGCAGATTTAAATTTAAAGAAAAAACAGGAATCCTGGTTCCATTTCAGATTTCAAGCTCTACTTTGGCTATTTGGCAGTTAAATATACCTGAAAAAAGGGTTTCATATTAATGTATCTATTTCGGGTAGTATATCCAATAATATTAAAAGTGTTTTCCTTTTTTTTAACTAGAAAGGGTTTTTGTAGAAATGGGAAATCCCAAACTGGAGGGTACTGTTTGATATCACTGCTAAAGAGTAAAGAAGTGATATGTACGCATAATTGGCTTAAACTGCAATAGTTGCACCAGCTGCCCAATAATATTTTTTTGTCCGTTTTAGCCAAAAAGTTGTGTGATATTGCAATATCCATAAAATGTACCCTGCGCAAAAAATACACAAATGGCTGCAGTTTAGGTAATAGTATCTGCACAACAAATGCCTGGCAAAAAAACTGGACAGTAGTTTGCGACAATAGTCCGTATATTTCTTATTTGATTCCCCGTCTTTCATCAAGAAATGTTCTTTACCGTAGACTTTATTCCCTGTGGCTGAAACTGTAAAATAGAAGCGGATTTGATAAAAATTAAAAATAAAAGTCAAAATCGCACTTCTTTTGCTTCTTCTATTAAAAGTAATATGGATCAGCACCATGTGCATAACTTTCCGAGTATATGTTGTCATTTTAGATGGTTTTCTGAAATAAGTACTGAATGTTTTTTAGGGCAAGTATTTTCCTTTGCGTTACCCAAAAGGATAGTTATTAACCTTCCAACCAGAAATGCAGGTAGTGTAGCACAACCAAGCTTTGGCTATGCTTAACTAGACAAGCAAACTTGTACCGAATCAAAGACGCTCTTCTCCCCCCCCTCCCCTGATAATGACTGAAGCAACGTGACTAAGCTTCAGCTAAAAATAGTTGATAACTGGATGATCTTGTAATCGAAGTCGTACTGATTTATCAAACTTGATTTATTTGATAAACTAAAGACGTCTAGGTTTTAGAATCTCCGGTAACTTTATCCGCCTGTTTTTTTTTTTGAAGCACTACGCTTTTATTACAGTATCTGTAAAATTTTATGCACTGCTACTTGCTTTTTGTTTGTTTTCAGAGTTCTAAAAAGTATCTTTTCTTGTGGATCTGTCTCGGGTTAGTTTTTTTTTTTTAATCCCAGGATTTCTCGAGCCACAAGTAAATGTTTGATATTTTTTAAGCATTTCTAGTTAATAACCAGCATCTATTGCTTGCTTCGTATTCAGGGATCTTGGGCAAACGAAAAATTAAATCAGTATCAATTTTCAATTGGCTCTGACTCCAATTATTGGCTTTATAGATTCCTTTATTATGCCAGACTTTCCCCTGTCGTTAAAAGGAATCGAAGTTTAGCGAAAACAAGGGGATTTGAGTTTTTGTGTTTATTTCAAAGATAATAAACGAATACGACATAGTACTATTCGTCAAGATTCTTTTTTATGTACGTCGACATATTCTCTGAAAAGGGGGCCCTTTTTTGTGAATCCACTTCAATATCTTTTTTAAAGCTATATCTTTTTTTTTTTTTTTGCTTATTGCTATTTATTAGATGACTTACGTAAAGTAAATAATCAAAATTTAAATAATCAAAATTATAGGTTTAAAGGACTTTGATGTTAATTTTACATTTTGGGCCCTTACAATTCATCTATTTCCTTTTTTTTGCCTAAAGGTAAGTTGGTATCTGTTAGATTCTGTGCCATCCGAGAAATATAAAGACCACATATCCCGATCCCAAAAATTGTACTCTTTTCTTTTTCTCGCATCTTTTTATACACAAAAAAGTTCTATGTTCCAAAACTAACAATATATCTATTTCTAATCATGTTTTATAAAGATATATTGATTTTCCTAGTCTTGCCTGCCCTTTCTATTTATTTCATTTTTCCATATTTTCGCGTCTCTGCTATTAGCTTTCCAGATTTTTTTTTCGAAACTCGCTTCCTTGTTAATATCACTATTTTGAACACGGTTGGCCTTTATATCTTCGTTTCCTTTTTCAAAGCCAAGATAATCGATTCAGTATCTCCTCAGTACAACAAGGTACCCTTGTTCACAATCATATATCAATATAATATCATTTATCGCTTTGTTTTACTTGTTTTACTAGAAACTCCTTCCAAGTTCCATACACTTTGATTCTCCTAGCAAAAATTCTTCCACTTTAGAGTATTCGTTGGCAGTTTACAAGGTATTAAATTTGTTTTTTTTATCACACTTCTTTATTTCCATTTCTTCTGTTTTTAAATCCGCTTTACAATAGCTAAATGGAGTTGCAAAAGATCCACTTTCTCTAAATGGGGTTGTCTTTTCCAAAGCACTAATTAAAGAGTACTCGTTCCTGCAAAGACCTTTTTTAAATGTAGGAAAAGGTCGCCGTGTGGTAATTTTTGCTTATTTTATAATCAATCTCGTTTACTGTTTTGCTTTGCGACACATTTCCAAATCGTGCGCGTTTTTTATTCTATAAAACCCCACTTTTTTTTCTAGACTAACACCTTTCTTCTTTATATTTCGTTTTAGTACAATCTTCTATCTGATTCCAAACATCAGGGTTTTATAAAAAAAGCAGAATTCCAAAAATTAGGAAAAATATTCTGTACTACATACCTTGAAAATATAATCGGTTACGAAGTAGAGGATATCAACTATTTGATTAGGAAATATGTTAATACTCATGGACAAAGCGTTCATGGAGGTGAGGGTCTAGTTGTAGATAACCTATTTTTACATTATTATCCTTGAATAAATTCCATTGATTTACTGCTCTCTAGAAACACTCAAAATTGATATACAGGAACTTTTGGTTTATGTCCTTTCAGAAAATGGTAATTCCTTATGTATTCTTAACCTATGTTTTTTCCTTTTTTGATTCGTGTTTTACTTCAGTGCGCTAATTTCTTGTTTTAT